CCCAGTGCTGAGTAGGCAGTCAGGCAGATAGATCCCTAGTACTTGCTGGCCAACTAGTCTAACTTACTTGATGTGTTTCAAGTGAATGGGAAACTTTGTCTTAATAGAAGATGGACAATATCTAACAATGATATGCAAGATTGCTATCTTCCTAAAAATAAACAAAAATGGGGGACACCTACTATTTTCAAGGAAAATAAAGCTAAATTTGAGAATTCTGCTTACTATGAAGCCTTCAAGTTAAACAAAAATTCATAACTTAATGCTTAATATATGTATTTAGTGGCAGATCATATAGCTGAAAAGAAACCAGTAGACTGAAAGACAAATTAGATACGGAATAAAACTTGGGGGATCTGATAGATGGGAATAAAAGGCCAATAGACACAAGCTACAATGAGAAGGAAATATATTTTTATTTAAATCATGGAAGGAAGAGAAGAATGTGTAGCTAATATCTGAGCATGTGTTTGCTGAGACATAAAGCCACAACTGTAGGAGCACAGAGAAACAAAGATAGAATCACTAAAACAATCGTCTATACTAAGATACTTAGTAACAAAACACAAGCAAACCAAAGATACTGAAGCAAACCTTAAAAGAAGTCTTAAAATATGTCTTAAACATGGACAGCATAAAATTCAAAGGCAGTGGTTTGCAGTGACAAAAAAAGAATCAGCAAGAGATGCATTCCTGACAAAACTGTCTCTTAAGTTGACATGGTGGGACAGCTTGGAATTCCAGCAGCTGAAGGCTGAGAAAGAAAGACCGCAAGTTAAAGGCTAACCTAATTTATATAGCTAAACCCTAACTCAAAAGATAGGTTTTAATTCATTCCAAGAGAATACTATTTTCATACTAGAGGAGAAAAATAGAATAATTATAATAGAATTCAAATAGAATAATTCTGATATAGTTTAAAGACATGATAGGATATAAGTGATAGCAGGTGAAATTAAAAATAGTCAATAAGCTTTAAATCTAAAGCAATCAGTAATCATGCATTAAAAGGCTAATTAATATTCCTGCTAAAATTAATTATTAGACTGGATTAAACAATGCTACATGTTATTTCCAAGTGTCACATCAAACATGTAAAAAAGCACAGAAACACTGAAAGTAAAAAAATAGAAAGAGCTAGGCTATGCAACAGTAATCAGAAAGAAGTTGGCCAATTAATGTCAGAGAAAAGAGACTAAATAAGCAAAAGGCATCACTAAAATCAAGTTTTCCTCTGTAAAGTTTCAACTTGCTAGCCTATATCCATGTGGCCTCCGCAAAACCAAATCCACAGTAAAGGGTAACTCGGCAAACTACCATTCACTCGTAACAGTGAATATGCGTGGTACATTAGAAAGTCAGCGTAATATCTTCATGGAGGTGACCACATCCAGCATCTGCAGAACACATGTTCTTTTCCAATGCTGCGAACCTTCATTAAAGGAAAAGCATGCTAGATCTAAAGAAAAGTCTCAGCACATTTTTAAGGACAGCAAATACAGAGTATGTTTTCTCAACACAGTAAAATAACAAAGCTGTAACTAGGACACCCAAATGTCAGGGAATCTAAAAATAAACTAACTTCTTATGGAATCTCCACTATGATTCCCTCCTTTTCATTTCTAACTTAGATTATTCATATTTTTCTGTTTTTTTTTCTTGTTCAATCCTGTCAAAAGCTTATCAATTTTCCTACACTTGAAGTGCCAGCCTTGACTTTGTTGATCTCTATTTTGTTGTTGTCTTTTTCATTAATGCTTATTCTCCTCTTCATAGCTTTGAACTTTTGAAAATAAGACAGAACATTATACAATCTAACAATGTCTATATAGTATCTTTTTGAAACTCCAAGACAGTATCATTAGACTTTGAAGGAAAAACAACAGGAAAGGCGAGCTGAAAGCCTTGGCAGCTGACGGGTGGGAGATGAGGAAAGGAAGAGAGCTTGCCATGCCTTTTGAGTTAGTGTCCAAGAAAGCAAGCAAGTTTAGCAATGGAGGACACCAGACAGCTAGCTGTATGGTAGATGTGGGAGAGTTTCGGAGAAAGAATAAGTCAGACCCGTGTCAGGGCAGCATGCTTAGGCTTTTGACCAGTAACCAAGAGAGAGAGAAAGACGGAAAAAGGAAAGTTACACTTGTTGACTTAGCTTGCAGGGGAGTGAGCATACAGAAACCCTGGAAGCAGCTGTCTGCGTGGTATTTTTAACAGGAAATGTAGGCTTTATTGGGAGTGGTGCTGCATACCTACAACCCCAGCACTTAGGAAGCAGAGGCAGAAGGATTGCAAGCTAGAGGCTAGTCTCATCTATAGAGCAAGTTCCAAACTAGCTAAGCAAACGAAGTGAGGGCTGTCTCAAAACAACACAAACAAAACAAGAGACAAAGTGCTAGCTGCAAAGCCTGATGAACTCAGGTCAGTTTCCAGGACATCTGGGTTTGGGTGGAAGTGTCACCCCAGCCCCTGGCATCCATATACCCCAAGAGTCTGGGATGTTTGGTTGGAAGGAAGCGTCACCTCAGCCCCTAACATTCTTACACCCACAAGAGTCTGGAATGTTTGGGTTCAGGATTCACTCCGGCTCCTGGCATCTATGTATCCAAGGAGTCTGGAATGTTTGGGTGGAAAGTTCCACCCCAAGCCCCCTCCTCTGGGAGCTGCCTCAGTCCAGACTCCACTTCTGAGAAAGCCTGCCAAACAGTGGCCCCTCCCCAGAGAGGCTCAAGACCACTCCCACAGGGTATTTAAACTGACTCCCAGAGACCGAACACAAGGTCTTCCTTTCCCCTCTCTGTGGTTTTTCTGTTTTCTTTTCCCATCTCTTTTCTGAGGTCCTAGAAGGCCACCTGGGATTGCTGGCTTCCATTAAACCTGGGCTTTTTCTAATTTAGTTTGATTTGGATTATTGCTTCGGTGGAGAGGTTTATTGGGCTGTAAAATCTTTTCATTCTACATATGTATATGTATGTGGGCACACATGTGGAAGTCAAAATACAATTTATAGTAGTTCTCTTTTTTACCATGTAGGTCAAACTTAGATTGTCAGGTATGGCAGCACGTGTCTTTACTCACTGAGCAATTTTGCTGACCCTTTTTTATTAATCCTTAAAGAATTGTGTTTTACAGATGAGAAAACTGCAGGCAGGACAGGAAATAAATTCCTAATCACTGCATTGACTGGAATATACGCCCTAAGTTTGTATCTGAGACCAGATGAACTTGGTCTGCTCTCTTCAGTGAGTCTCTAACAACCCCAGGATCTCTTATCTTTTTAGACCTTAATGGACACTTACTAAAAACAGCCATAGTTAAGATAGTGGGAGCTTGGCACTCACTAACTCTTTTTTTGCATAATCTCTAGAATATCTGAGAATAACTAAGTAAAAAATAATCACAATAGTTAACTGCAACACAAGCTAAAAGTGGGGGTAGGAGTCAAGGGAAGCAAAATGTGCATAACCTGAGTGTCTAGGTTGCCTAAGGCTGCCTAAGCCAGAAATGAAAATTCAGGCTAGTCTCAAGTTGGAGGCTCTTCTTCTGAATCCCTCTGGCAAAGATAAAGCATGCTTGCTCAGAACAATAGATGGCTTATTTTAGAGCAAATGACCACTGAGAAAATATTTTATCTGTATATGGCATGAACCTTGGGATTTTTTCTTGAGTTTCAGTTAAGAATTGCCTTCTGTTATCTTAGTGTCTTAATGTTCCACAATGCTTGGAAAAGAGCTACTATTTGGCCAGCCATACTTGACACATCCTCGTTTACACTACTCACTTCAGGCACTCTTCCTGGGTCTGCAAATACACTGACTTTTCTAATCTCTTGTCTTAATGGTGAATCCAATTGGACAGTGTCAGGTACCTGGCTAGGGGATCATTCACCTCCTGGAAGGTGGGTTCACCTTAAAAATAAGGTTCTTCTTTCCAGAATTCCTAATCCCCTAGTGCAGTCCCAGGCAAGCATCATGAGATTCAACAATGTCTGCATGCTTTTCTGAGGCCTATTTATTTTTCTTTTCTTCTGAGGATAGACTCAGAGATACACTTTCTTCTGCCCCAAGTGTAGTGAAATTCAATTCTTATAAATTATCCACTTTATAATCTTGGGCCTTTTTATCTGCAGATTTCAATTCTGGTAAATTCCCAGCTCAGTTCCCCTTCTCAACTATGATTATATGTTAAAAATGTCTCTCTTCATTGAAAAACAAATGTCAATGGAACTTCACCATACAACTACATTTTCCCATTTTGAAGCTACATCCTAGGCAACTTCATACGTCTTTCAGTTGAAAAAAAAAAAAAACCTGTTTTCTCATGTGTCCTGTTCTGTTGCCAAGTGCTCCTTTAAGTATTATAATCTTCTTTAAGTATTTTTATGAATACACTTTTAATTCAGTATGGCAAGCCTTCTAGGTATGCTTCTTTCTGCTGGACTTTATTATATTGTTTTCCCAATATATCTGATTACATTTGCTTGCAGATTACTGTTGTAAAAATTAATTATGGAAACTGGGTGTGGAGGCACACACCTGTAACCTCAAAACTTCAGAAGGCAGGAGCAGGGTTGTGATTTTGAGGGTAACCTGGGATACAATGACTTTGCCACAAAAGGAAAAAAGAAGGGGTGGGTAGTTTAAATGTTAACTTGAGATTAAATTGAGCTAGTGTTCTCATGTGTCTGCCATGTCTCCTAAACTTGAGTAGAACCAGGAATGTTTTCACTCTTTCTTCTACCACTCTCTTATTATTTTGTTTTTTTGAGAAAGGGTTTGTGTAACAGTTCTAGCTGTCCTGGGATAGTACTGTAGACCAGGCTGGCCTCAAACTCACAAATTCGCCTGCCTCTGCCTCCCAAGTACTGGTATTAAAGGCATGTACCACCACTGCCCAGCCACTCTGCCTATTATTAAGAAGGTCATTGTCTCTACACTTAGGACAGGGGTTAGTACTGGCTTATTTTGCTATACTCTGTAGGGTATAGCAGTTTTGAGAATCCAGTGTAGATTTTCAAAGGTCTCCCATTCATTACTATTTGGGATTGTGTGGTAGTTTGAAGAAAAATGGTGCCCGAAGGGAGTAATACTATTTATTATGTGGTGTGGCCTTGTTGGAGTGGGTATGGTCTTGTTGGAGGAAGCATGGAATTGGGCTTTTAAGGTCATACATGCTGAAGATACTGCTCAGTGTCTCTTCTCCAGCACCATGTCTTCCTGTACACCACTACATCCCACCACACTAATGGACCGAACCTCTGAACTGTAAGCGAGCAACCCCAATTAAATATTTTCATTTATAAGTTGCTGTGGTCATGGTGTCTCTTCACAGCAATAGAAACCTTGTTGGCACTGATTTTCTCTCATCCAGAGAGCATCAACAGTCTACAGTATAGTCTCCATTTTATCTTACCTATATGATCCCACTTTAAAGCTATATTATTTTTCAAGTGTGTGTGCATGTGCACGCACAAAAGACCAGAAGCACTGAAAATCCCTGACGCTAGAGTTATAGAAGGTTGTAAGCCTCCCAAGTGGGTGCTGAGAACCAAACATGGCATGGGTTCTCTTCAAGAGTAGTAAGCCCTAACTGCTGATCCATCTCTCCAGTCCCAGAATCCTATCTGTCTTGGGTTGCCCACTGTCTTTTGAGCTTCTGTGCTCTCTCGAGGTATCTTCACGTTAACTGCCCCCTACTCCTGTATTTTTATGTGGAAACTTAATCACCAATATATTGTATGGTTGGGCCTTTGGGAAGTGATTTTTAGTGGAAAATTGACACAAATAGCTTAGCCCATCTTTACCAGAAACTGAGTGTTCATTTTTCATATTGAGGATCTTCATCATAGATTTTTTTTTTATATTTTTTGTGGTTTATTTAACTTTTTTATTTTATGTGCATTGGTGTGAAGGTGTCAGATCCCCTACAACTGGATCTTCAGACAGTTGTGAGCTGCCATGTGGGTGCTGGGAATTGAACCCGGGTCCTCTGGAAGAACAGTCGGTGCTCTTAACCACTGAGCCATATCTCCAGCCCTTCATCATAGATTTTTAAACTTTATCCTGTTAACACTTGTCGATGACACCTTCCATACATATTTAACTTTATAAACTCTAAACATCTTGAACCTGTTCCTAGATATAGCACTTTAGGCTTCTGGTCTTCCAGATTCCAATTTACTTTTAACCATGCCAATTCTCTCTTAACTTTTCAAACTTTAAAAATATATTTTGGTTCACTTACAAGACAATATTTTTGCTTTTTGTTTTCTCCTTGCATATCATTTACTAGAAAAGGCAAGGATGATCACGGATCTCACATCCATGGACTGGTACAAACAAGCTTATCCACAAGAAACACATTGAATCTGGAACATGATATCCCTATGGGACTAGCAACCAGGAGACCCATTCACACCTGAGTCCATCTGAGTATCATTTATCTGGCCCTAGATATCATACCCAAGACCAAGTCAAGAGGCCACTAGCCTTTTTATTTCCCACCTCTGAATAGATGGGGGCTGCAGTAGTTGTCCCCAGCATTCAGTCCATTGGGGTAATCAGGATGCCAATCTAAAAGGCTTCTAGAGATGCTTCAGTACTTGAGGGTTTGAATTGCTCTCCAAGAGGACCCAAATTTGGTCCCTAGCCTCCGTATCAGGTAGCTTACAAGTATTTCAAACTCCAGTTCCAGTGGGATCTGATGCCTCCAGCTTGCTCAGACACATACATTCACAAGCACATAGCCCCATACATACATAAAATTAAGAGGAAATATCAAAACTTTTTAAGGGTGACCAGAGCCAGGGATATACCTCAGTGGTAAAACCCATGTATAGCAGGCATAAATGTACTTAGTTTGATCCACAGCACCACAAAATTCACAATCTCTCCTGAAAGGGGGTGGCCAACTTCAACATTTTTACTTAACCAGTGTCATCCCTGAAACTAGGAAATACCTTATGTCGAGTTGGAGTTCACGTCGGGGGGTAGGAGTGTGAGGGGTGGGACTGAAGCCACCGGCTACTTGGCCATGAGGTACATGGAAAGTGGTCTTTTCTTTAGCAAATGAAGTCCAACCCCTTTGTTCACCAGCTACTGGGAGTAGATAATCTGGTCTACCTGCCCCAGAAGTCATTCTGGTGGATTCCTGAACACTTGTTCTGCTATCTTAATCAGGATGTTCTATTTCTCACTCCTCAGGAAAAAACCCAATATGCACACCTTTCTTCCTTGTTGGCTATGGTCAATTTTCTCTGAACACGTTTATAAGTTAGCCCCAGCACGTGTGCATGTATGTGTATGTCTATCAGAGTGATTTGCTGATAGTCTTAACTAATTCCTGCTCCCACTTTCCCCTACTTAGTACCAGGACAGTGTGTTGTACCCAGCAGATTCTCAAAAGTCTCTTGCAGAAAACAATGCAAATATGGGCATTATACCGAAGCACCGAGTGGTAACAATGTATTTTCCCTTTCTTCACCCTAACTTCAAAATCCACTGGTGGGGATTTTGAGGCAGAGACAAAGTACTCTGTTGTACTCCCAGAGAGAGACATGGAGATTATTTTGTGAGAAAGGAATCCTTAGAGAAATTTAGGTCTGGCTGGAGACTGTCTTTTGTAATGACTGTAGATTCTGACGTCTGAGAACAAATTGAGACTTCACCTGGTATTAATAATTTGTCCAAATACTATGACTGGAGCTCAACTCAGGAAAAGTCTACTTTTACTGTTGAGATACCTAATCCTGCTACAATAACTAATATTTTGTATTAAATTCTGTTCATGATGAATTGTATAGTGTTAGATCACTCATAGAGCCTACCTACTATAATAAATTACAATCCAGCCTCAATATCAGGATCAGACTGCTTATTCATGCTCTCTTCAAATACCATGTTTTCCCTGAGATAAGCACGGTCTAACTTCTGGTGAAACCTCAGAAATTAGCTTGGTGGATGAGTCTTCACAGATGAGACGGAAACTTTTCTGGCTTAGGTCCTGTACTACTTACAAGGAAAGCTACGACACACAAATGGCTTTCTATATTATTCCATCTAATTCAGTCTTTATACTTGAGGCATTCCTTTATTGGGGTTTTGTCTTACCTTACCATAACTATCTGCCTTTTATGGCAAAGCGAGTTCTGAACATATTCATATTTTACAATAGACAATATACACATGTAGTACATGAACTCTTTACAACACTTTCGAAACAAACAATATTGAAAAACATGAATTTCCTCTTCCTAATTACTGATACATACTTTGCTCTTGTAATAATAGCCTTTCTTTGAAATATCTTTTTCATAGGATTCCCTGAATTTTTTCTGTAAGGTGCAAACTCATGTTGAAGATGTGTTCCGTTTCCTTACTTATGGAAGATACTGAAATCCTTTCCATTCTTAGTATGTGTGAATGCCACCTTCCAGCTTTTCATTTATCATATATTTTACTTATTAAGGGAGCTCACTTGAAACTCTAAAAGTCTTATCAGTCTAATATAATAGTATATTCTAACAATTCTGCATTTTAATGACTATTTCAGATTTGACTATGCCATTCCTTCTCCTAGAACATCTTGTTTCAAAAGTTGTCATTTCCCTATCGCAAACCATTTTTAAGTCTCTAATTCATGACCACTAATAAACTGATATTCCCTGAAGCTAGTCTCTCCCTGAATTTGCCTGTTAGTGGCCCTTGGATTTTTTTTTCCCCACTGATCAAAGTATAAAGTTCAAAATTATGTCAGACTTTCTACATTCTTATTTATTTATCCAAATAGCATCTTTGTAATAGTGAATATGATTTCTAACTGAAGTCCTTTGCCTTCATGTTTATGTCCAGAAATGTATGCCTACTTGGGAGGATTTTTATTAAATGTTCCATCATTTTGAAAGGTTTTATATCTAGTGGTATTTTATATTCCTAAAGGGCTCAACTATTTTGACACTAGAACTGCCCTTGCTATAACTGAATCATGTAGAATTGCTCATCATTTATAATTTTTTCACTTACACTATAAAAATTATAAGAATTTCAGAAATTCTTACATCCATAAAGTTTTTCTTCTATTTGATTTCTTTGAGACTTGGTAGGCTGTGCCTCCCATATAGGCATAGGCATCCGCATCCTGGTCCCTTCCAGAGCACGACCTCCCTCATAGTAGATTATCTTCGGGAATGTGCCACTACGACTTTCCATATGTGACATAGTTAAAGATTCTTCTCCAGCATGGATTCTTTTATGTTTTGTAAGATTTGATCTGATATTAAATGCCTTCCCACAATCATTACATCGGTATGGCTTCTTTCCAGTGTGGATCCTTTTGTGTTGGTCAAGGACAGATCTGTAATTGAAAGATTTCCCACACTCACAAATATAGGGCTGCTTTCCACGGTGGACACTTTTATGATTGATAAGACTTGAGTGTGAAATGTACGCCTTTCCACATTCATCACATCCATAGGGCTTTTCACCTGTATGGATCCTTTTATGCACTGTGAGGCCTGAGCTGTTCCTGAATGCCTTCCCACACCAATCACATACGTAAGGTTTTTCCCCTGTGTGGATCCTCTTGTGTTGGGAAAGAAGTGAGCTGTAGCTAAATGATTTCCCACATTCAACACACTTGAACGGTTTTTCCCCAAGATGAACTCTCTTATGGCTTATAAGAGTTCTGCTGGAGAAAAATGCTTTTCCGCATTCATCGCATGTAAAAGGTGTCTTGCCAGGGTGCGTACTTTTATGGTTAATAAGGCTTGAGTGTGAGATGTAGGCTTTTCCACACACATCACACTCATAGGGCTTCTCCCCAGTGTGTATTCTTTTATGAACTTTAAGGCTTGAGTTGTTTCTGAAGACCTTCTCACACCTGTCACATTCAAAGGGTTTCTCTCTAGTATGAACTCTTTTGTGCTGAGAAAGGAGTGAGGTGTAGTTAAAAGACTTCTCACACACATCACATTTGTAGGGCTTTTCTCCAAGATGAATCTTTTTGTGGTTTAAAAGGGTTCGGTATGTGACAAAGGCTTTCTCACACTCGTCACACTTAAAGGGCTTTTCCCCAGGGTGTACACTTTTATGATTTATAAGGCTTGAGAGTGAGATATAAGCTTTCCCACATTCTTCACATTTATAAGGTCTCTCCCCTGTGTGAATTCGTTTATGTACTTTAAGGCCTGAATTGTTTCTGAAGGCTTTTCCACACTCATCACACCTAAAGGGTTTCTCCCTTGTATGAATCCTTTTATGCTGTTCAAGAGCAGAGCTGTAGTTGAAAGATTTCTCGCAATAGCTACATTTATAGGGCTTCTCCCCCATGTGGATTCCTTTGTGATTTTTAAGGCTTGAGCGTGAGATATAAGCCTTCCCGCACACATCACACTTGTATGGTTTTTCCCCAGTATGGAGCCTCCGATGGACTTTGAGGCCTGAATTGTTCCTGAATGTTTTGCCACACACATCACATACATAAGGTCTCTCTCCGGTATGAATGGTTTTATGCTGAAGGAGAAGTGAGTTATAACTGAAGGATTTGCCACACTCCTTACACTCATGGGCTTTCTTTCCAGGATGAATGCTTTTATGGACTGCAAGGCCTGAGCTATAGCTGAATGCTTTGCCACAGATGTCACACTTGTAAGGTTTCTCTCCTGTGTGGATTCTTTTATGCACTATAAGGCCTGAACTGTTCCGGAAGGCCTTTCCACACTCATCACATTCGTAAGGTTTCTCACCAGTGTGGATGACTTTATGTTGAATGAGGAGAGAGCTATAATTAAAAGATTTCTCACACTCATCACATTTATAAGGTTTATCCCCAAAGTGGATGCTTTTATGATTTAGAAGTGTTCTGCAAGTAATGAAGGCTTTCCCACACTCATCACATTCATAGGGCTTCTCCCCTGTGTGGATCCTTTTGTGGACCCTCAGGCCAGAACTATTACTGAAGGTTTTCCCACAGATGTCACATTCATAGGGCTTCTCCCCCGTGTGGATCCTCTTATGGACTCTCAGACCAGAACTGTTCCTGAAGGCCTTTCCACACTCCCCACACTCATAGGGCTTCTCTCCAGTGTGGATCCTTTTGTGCTGGTCCAGAACGGAACTGTAGTTGAAGGACTTCCCACACTCATCACACTTACAGTTCTTCTCCCCAGAGTGGGTGCTCTTGTGGTTTATAAGGCTAGAGTAGGACATGTAGGCTTTCCCACACTCATCACACTTATAGGGCTTCTCCCCAGTGTGGATGCGCTTATGGACCCGAAGGCTGGAGCTGCTACGAAACGTTCCCCTGCAGTCTTCACACTCATAGCGCTTTTCTCCAGTGTGCATAATTTTATGTTGAACAAGGCGAGAATTGTATTTAAAGGATTTTCCACATTCATCACACTTATGTGATTTCTCAACAGCAGTAGAATTCTGCTGTGGACTAGGGTGTATGTTTCCATTAATGTTCTCCAAGTGCTCACCTTGTTCACTAATTTTTGGTTCAATAGGGATAATCTGGTATATGGTTTTTGCACTTGGGTACAGACTTTTTTCAGATGCCTCATCATCCTGTTCTATTTTTATATTTTCTGTGTTCTTAGATTTGTCAATCTTTTCTCTGATGCTACTTTTGTTTTCCTTCATTATTTTCCATTCAGGCCTTTCCAGTTGCTTCTCTACCCAATCACAAGTGTCACCGATCTGAAATTTCTGCATATGAGCCTTGTGAAGAATTTTCACATTTGTGTACTGAGACTCTGCATTTGAATTACTTTCACTCTTTTTAGCTGATTCCGCATCCTCCATGCTTGTCTTCAAATGTGACACTAGACCAAGAAAATGAAAATGATATGTTTAGAAAAAAACTGAAAGCATAACAATAGCAAATAACAAAATCAACTTATCCATTTGACAGGTATTTGCTTGTTATGTGATAGGTACCATTTTAAAAATAATCTTTAAAATTTTAAGTGTAAGAGTGTTTTGCTTGCATGTAGGATTGTGCACCATGTATTTGCCTGGTGCCCAATGAGTTCAGAAAACGTAGCTGGATCCTCTGGAACTGGAGTTGTGAGCCAACATTGAGTGCTAGGAACTGAACTCAGGTTCTCTGCAAGATCATTAAGTGTTCTTAAGTTTTGAGTCATCTCTCCAGTCCCATAAGCACCATTTTATTTAACTGTTGGGGATATATAATGGGGAACATTAATAAGATTTCAAAACTTTCAGAACTACTGTTAAACTAGAGCCCAGATTCTTAATGATCCGAAGAGCTTTTTCATTCCTGCATTAATGACCTAGCATGAATAAAAGTTAGAAATGGGTTAGACTAATGTACAGAACCACGGCCAATACCAATCAGTTTCAGTGTCCCCTCACAGAAAAACAACAAAAAGTTTCTGAAAAGCAAATAACAGAAAAAAAAATTGGAAAAACAAAGGCAAGGTTAATTCTTCTTTGGAAATTAGACATAAATCAAGACAGAGTATGTAAAACTAATGAAGTTTTAGGTGAAACTAGATCAGTATCCTAGAAGAGAGATCAGACAGGTGTTATGAGATTATGAGGACAGTGACCAAGAAATGAGAAAGAAAGAAATGTGCAACTATTGGAAACTGATCTGGCCTTCTGGACTTTTCTATGTATGGAAAACACTGTCCTTGGAAAGTAGCTAATTGTGGAAGAACTTATATGGTAGAACATGTTCCAGCCTGCCAAAGAATAAAGTTTTCTTTACTATTTATGAATAATTTAGTCATATAGCATGTCAAAGATTATAAGCAGCAAAGTGTGATGGCTCAATGTTATAATTCCAGCACTTTGGAGGCTTAGGTAGGAAGGTGGCTTATTGTAAAATCCTAGAAAACGAAGCATTAGTAATAATATAAATTGTGATCTTTCTCTCCTGCCCTGGGTAACATTTCGGAACATTATTGTGAAATTCTGTTAATCTTACAAAACTCTATATGTAAGCATCTGAGGGAAAAATGGGCAATAAAAGATACATAATTTGGAGTGAACATGTTAAAGAGTCATATTACCCAACTCATTTCCATAGAAATAATGATGTCCTTTAGGAATAGAAATAGCTAGAAATTTAGACGACCATTTAGAAGATAAAGAATCACCCAGAAGACATTAAAACAAAAGCTGGTTCAGCTGAAAGAAATATATAATGTTAAGTCCTATGTATGAGGTCACTGAAGAATGGTAGCCCAGCCTAGTTCCATGACTTCCTGTAATACTTTGGGTAGAGCACACAACACTTCAAAAGTGGAACTCATGGGTGGGTTAGTGTAGTTCCGGAAGCTTCAACAGCAGCATATTTTTTTTTCTAAGCCAATAGAAAGTCTTTATTAGGCAGCTGCGACACACTGGGTGTTTGGGATTCCAGTATAGCCCTGAGCCCTTCTCAGGGTGAGCTTTTAAGCGCAAAAACCATATCCTGGCCTGACTTACTTCAGTTAACAAGAACAGTTAGCCAGAAGCAGAGCTATAGAAGTCAAAAAAAGCGCCAGGCAGTGGTAGCGCATGCCTTTAATCCCAGCACTCGGGAGGCAGAGGCAGGTGGATCTTTGTGAGTTAGAGACCAGCCTGGTCTACAAGAGCAAGTTCCAGGACAGGCTCCAAAGCTACAGAGAAACCCTGTCTCAAAAAACCAAATTAAAAAAAAAAAAAGTCAAAAAGCAATGGTAGTACATTTAGAGACTTTCCCAGACGTTTGGACTTTGATGGATTAAGTTTTTGTTTTCATTTTGGCAGGTGTTGTCTACATGCTGAGCTTAATGGCCTGAATTATTTCCATCATGGAAGTCAGTTGTTCTAAGATCTGGGGTCCCTAGGGAGCTGGGAACCAGATCTTTCCTTCACTGAGCCTGCAACAAGGAAGTAGTCAGCTTGGGCCTCCTTAACCGTCCCCCTGTAGAAAAGACCTGCTCCATGCAGAGAACACAGTAGTCTACAAGCATAAGCAAATGCAAAGATGTTTAGAACAATGACATTTTGCACAACACTGGCACAATCCATAGAGCACACATTATTTATACTCTATTTCCACATACAACAGAAGACATCCTATCCATTTCCTTTTCAATTTTAGCCACTCCATCTTAATTTCTTCAGAAGAGAAAAATGTGAAGGTTCTCACAGCCATATAAAACAATTTCCTAAAATAAAAGTTGCTAGGGAAGAAAAAGAGATGTAAGTGACTACTAGCCATACTGGCTATTAACATGAGCTATAATTAAAAATGTGCTTCTATAATTTAAATGTGTTACTGGCATATAAATAGACATAGCCAGAAATTATCTCAACAGCACACAGAAATTGATGATGAGGATGGCATTACTGGAGAAAAGACAGTTTTTTAAAATAGTTTTGTAACAAATAAAAAGCCATCTGGGGAATAACAAAGATAAAATTAGATCTTTTATACCACACAAAGAAACAAACTCCAAATGGAACAGAGCTCTAAATATACAGAAGCTAGAAATAATGTAACAGACACTAGAATAACAAATGCTAGAAAAATAACACAAGTTCATGACCCTATAACCTGGGTATAAAGAAAGTTTCCTAATCATAAACAAGATGCAGAAGACTGATGTAAAAATAGCATATCCACAAATTCTAACCCTTACTCTCAAAAGAGTAGTAAGGTAAGGGGAAAGGCTATACTCTCTCAAGAACTCTATTTCAGGACCTAAGGTTGCACGACAAGGTGTCTGGGTCTGTCCAAAGCCTGTTTTGCTCATCAATAGTTACTGGTACTCTAAGCTAAGTGAGCAAAATGAAATCTTCCTGGAACAGAGTGGCTGCTTCAGTACTAGAACTGCTGTCAAGGCATAACGATGTGCTGGAGCTTTCTGTTGCTGGAATACTACAGGATGAACAAAGTACAGATGATGTGCAATTGGTAAATGCTGATTCATTTGTATGAACCATTACAATGCCTCTGAAGACCGGAGATGCAGCTATATAAATGGGTAGATGACATCTATCAGCTTAAAGAGACACTTCAGTAGCAGAATAGGCCGTTCTAATGGTTTTTGGGACAAAACATTTGTCTTTAATTGGTATACACTCAAATAGAAATCCAGCCAATCAACTATCTATGTGCTTGGAAAGACTGGGCAATTTGGCCATTAAGCCTAGAGATCCCACTTGTCCTGATCTTTAAAGCTGATACAACCGCTCTGAACCAGGCCATTACATTTGAGTCCCTCGAGACAATTCTGATTCCCAAGCACCTGATACCTCATGCTAGTTTATCAAAGATTAGCCCTTACAGAAAGTAAGTTATATCCCAAGGGCTAGACTGAAGTCAAAATCCAGCAGTATAGCTGTTCTTAGTGAGTGGCTTCTTGGAAGCAAACCTGGCTCTGGTCTTCATGCTCATTATATATACTCAGCACCCCCCCCCTCTGCCACCCAGGACAAAAGAAACTGTAGAATGCTCAGATTTCTTTCTGCCAGACTTTGTAGACTCCACTGTAATATCTGAGTCAACCTACCTAAAGGGCCTAGAAAAGTGACTCCTTTAAGAATCTGTAACAAGAAGTTCCTGGAAAAACAGGGTCTCCGGGGTGTTAAGAGAAATTTAACTTCATTCCAGGTATGTGACAAGCCCTACAGTGTCAAGCCCAATTCTTGTACCAATTCTAGCATAACCAGTCCAACAATGTAGAAAGTTGGAAATCTAAAAAATCTGAAGTGCTTGAATGACAACCTTGGAAGCCATGAAACCACTGGCCATTCCCAGCATCATCAGGATTGCTTGTCTAGAAGCCATCAGGACCCATCTGGAATATACTGAGCCTTGTATGAACTTTCAGAAGGGAAGGAGGAGCAGGAGAGGGAAGGAAGGGAACGTGAGAAGGAGAAGGAGTGAAAGGAAGACAGGAGGGGGTGTTGAAAAGCTAGCTTTGTGTAGAACGGCTTCTGAAGAAAGAAGAAAAGGATAAAGTGGAACCCAAACCTAAGCCGGAGAAAAAGAGTCCCTAAATATGTGGTTCTACTTTTCCAGAAGAGCTAACGGGACAAGCTAAAGCACCAAACTGCAGTGGCTCATATTAGAATTGCTTATCTCTTCCAAGTCATAGATCAGTTCCTTTTCAGAGTGACTTACTAGGTCCCCACTGTAAAATCACAAAGAAATGCCTGCTACTGGGGACAAAGTTGGCAAAGAAAAGCTGAGAAGCCCAATGGCTACTTCCTGTTGTACTTTTTAACACTGTTCATCTGGGGATTACAAAAAAAAGGAGGAAAGAAACCTCAGTTAGGTTCTGTTCTAGAGAAGGTTAGTGACTACTCTGAGAGAAAGCATAGAAATAATATAAGACACTAGAGTAAAATACTAGGAAAAGAAACACAAGGTAATGACCCTATAACCTGGGTATAGAGAAAGTTTCCTAATCATAACCAAGACACAATACAGGACTGATGATTAACTACATACATATACTTCTATGGTAAAAATGGCTAGAAACATAAATATGGCTCAGTTTTTTTTTTGTTTTTGTTTTTTTTTTGGTAAATTTTATCCCCCCGACTAGAAAACAGCTTCTTGGAGCACAGGCTTCAATAACGAAACTCTAGTTTGAAAAGTGGACTATTTCTATGACCAAAATAATCTTACAAACCGGACTGTGGGGGCGCACATCTTCAATCCCAGCACTCTGGAGGCAGAGGCAGGCAGATCTCTGTGAGTTTGAAGCCAGCCTGGTCTATAAGAGCTAGTTCCAGGACAGGCTCCCTAACCACAGAGAAACCCTGTCTCGAAAAAAAAAAAAAAATCTTACAATGCTTTAAAGCTAGTCACTAGTCG